TATTATATAGTTTCAAGGTGCAGAAATATTCTCTTAACCCTTTTGGGTTGTTTTTCTTCTGCTCCTCCCAGTTATTTTTTTAAAAATAGTGATGTAAAGTATAAAATTATCATTCTGGGAAATTAAAAAACCTTGAACCTTGAAACCTATAATTCCAGAAAATGTCAGTTTTTCTGCTGATCAAAGTATAACCTCTCCCAAAGTACATGGCTTTATATCTCAAATACACATTTAATAAATTTTGGTTGCATTTGATATTTTGCTATTTGGCTCCAAAAGAACGTGTTTACAAAATATTGAGCTTAAATGTGTAAAGCTGTCCTTATGGTGAAAGGCCAAAAACCGTTTTTCTGCCCTGTCCACAGTATCATCAAAGTAGTACATTAGGACAAGGCAGAAAAATGTTTTTTCTGCCCTGTCGTACATTAGCCATTCTGAGGTTGAGGAAAAACTTGGGGAATTAGAATTGCAGTACATTATGAGTCTGTTTTAGGGGATTACATAGAAGCCATCTATTGTAATTTTGTCCCTTAAAACAGTTCCACAATGCATTGAAATACCAACTCCACCAAGTTTTTCCTCAACCTCAGAATGGCTAATAAAGAAAGACCATTGTACCAAAAGCACAAATAACTCCTGTGTATTTTTCATTCATATTGCCACAGCTTTTTACAGCTAAAAGAGAAGTTCAACAATATTAAAGCTTTTACTAAAGCAATGGAATTGAGCTTCCATAGACACACTCAAAGATCAGACTATAAAGGAAGTAAAACACCTGTACAATGTTCAGATCTTGCCTGTGCCTTGACATTTACATCAGTGACTTTGAAGAATAGAAAAGGAGAAAAATAGAAATCTATGAATAAAGGCTTAAGAGAGTTAACAGAAGTACAATAAAATGGAAATACAAATCTGGGGGATCATACATTTTTAAACAAATATTGAAATTTTGTACAATGTTTTGATTCTTAAGGTTTTTGGTAAATAGTTGACAAATATTTGTTGGAATTTTTAAAGTATAAACTTTTGACAGTCCATCCCTTGACGACATTAAGATTCTTACTGAGGCTGATTAGCCATCAGTCCTTCATTCTGCATAATTTGTACTTCTTGCAATCTTACACCAACTCTTTGAATCACCTTCAGAAACTTCTCTGTACAATGCATTGCACAGTTATTCTAAACAGAAGAAATGGCAATTAAAGTCATAAACGTGTTTTGATCAAGGGTGGTGATGTGATTTTATACTACCCTGACTTAGAACAAGGAAGCACAGGTGGCATGTGATGTTATTGTGCTGCCTCTCACCAATGCTACCTGGCTTAGAGTCCTGCCAGTGTTGGTGTCATATGTGAGTAGGGTTGTTTGTTGGTTCTCTCCTGCATGTGCTTTAGAGGGCTTTTTCTCTGGGTTCTCCATTCCCCCCCCCCCCCCCTCCCAAAAAAAAGAAAACCTTAATTCTAATTCAATCTATTGACTGTCTTATCAATAGAGTGTTTTCCCATGACATCACAGCAGCCATGTTGGTGTACCCAAACAATTTTATGCAAATACTGCACAGAAAGTTTATATTGCTTGGTACACCAATATGGCTGGCTTGTCATGTGAGTGAACATGCTCTATTGGGTTCCAAAACCTGTTAGGCATCAAGCCATCCACCCAGGAGTGGTAAATGCATTAAACAGCCCAGAGGTTGTTTCAAGGTTTGTTAAAATTTATGGAATATAGAATTTCTTTTTGTAGAATTGGAGTGTAAAATGATAAACAATCTGGCTGCGGCCTGTTTCTTAATCTTTCAGATTTATCATACTTTTGCTTTCCTTTTTTGAGCACCAAACCTAATGAGTATTAATTAAGATTCTTGTGGTCAAATGTGTGCAAATTTTAAAGATATGTAGATTTCCGAGTTGTCCAAAGGTAGTTCAAAATGGTGGCTTTTCAGGTTTGTGCAACCCTCTTTGGAAACTTCTGGATATACCTCTGTCCCTTACATGATATAGCTTAGAAGGATCTTCTTGTATCAATCTTGTCGGGTTGGTGTCCACTGGTAGAACGAAGCTTGGGATTGGACAAAATAACAAAAACAAAGAAAGCATGGATTATGGTGAACAATGTGTATTGTTTTACATGTAAGCTGCGTTCTTTGTTTCATCTCACCATTCATTGTTTGTTCATCCACTCCCAGGCTTCGTTCTGCCGGTTGTGGATTACCCATCTTGTCCAGTTTATATACCATATAATCATTGCAGAGTACTACACTTCTTTCAAATCTTATTGTATGTCCAATGAGCTGATTGTACTTACCTCATTAGCCCCAATTCTCCGGTTGGTGAAGTCATGGATACAATCAGCAAAACACAACTCTGTCAGACGGTTGTAGTAAGACAAGAAGTTTTGAACCTGAGGAATTTTTGGAAAATAGTGAATCTTCAGAGTAAAAAAGAAAAACAAAGCAAATCCCCACCATGTAAACTTTTACGCTTAAAATCACCCCAAAGCAACTTACTTGTCTGACTTCTTGTTGTTGTATTTGTTCTGGAGTAAGATTATCCATGCTGGCAAAAGTATATCTTGTAGTTGATGTGCACGTGCGACGTGCTGTTGCAGACGAGGCAAACTAACGTTGGAAAATGCCAAATTTAACGTCAATATTTAAATCTTTTTCTCGATTAAGAGTATCAGCGAAGTGTCCGAAAAAAGCTGAATCAGTCTTTACTCTAAAAAAAATGGGAATCTTATCAATTAAAAGGAGTTAAAAACTGAGATGTATTTCAATATATCAGTCTGTCCGCCATGTTTGCGCAGTAGGTTGGATTCATGCGCATTACTTCACAACAATACCGCTGAATTATTATTATTATTATTTTATTTTATCTTTTGCGTTTTACATAGACGACTTTCATAACTCAGTTTTTTCAGATAGAGAAAATGAAGCCTTTTTACCAGAAACTATTAATGCTATCTGAGAAAATACTTCACGAAAACTATTTCCAGAAAATTTTGTAGAATTTGACTGCATACCAAAGAAGTTATGAAAGAACGAAAATAGAGAGTTTTGTATGTATTTATCACTGGAAGCCTTGGTGGCCTCGTTTTGGTGCATTTTCAAAACTTCAAATGCTCACATCTTGTAAAGGATTTATTAATTTAAGTAGAAACTCACACACCTTATCTAAATCAACAAGATCAATGATTTAAAAGGGTTTTCACTCCAAAAACATTGATATGTTTATGCAAATTAGCAGCAGCCAGTTATGAAAGTCGTGTATTAGAAACTATAAATACAGAATACAAAAGTATACAATTTCTATTCACCTGTATTGCGTATTGTATAATTATGTACTATATATTGTACAATTTATGAATCATAAAGTGATTACGAAATATCACGACCGCGTAACGTTTTTTGATTTTTGGCGGATTTCCCCCGACAGGCATCAAGCAGCAACTAACTCTCACCCTTTTTAACCATTAAGATTGCAGGATTCACAAGGTAATAGTATAATACAATCAGGGATCAATTTGACAAAATAATAGGAATTCCCCCCCCCCCCCCCCTTTTTTTAACTTTCTGCAATATACTCGATCTGTTGTGACTTGTGTTGTATTTTAATTGTTATTCAACGAATCCAATATTTTTATGCAAATGACTCCTACTTGTGGGCATGATATCATAGAAACCAGCTGGTGGTCAACCATTCAACTAAATCGTCATCTGAATTGCAAAGCTATGTGCTTAATTTTTTTGTATTGAAGGAGAAGATTGGAGGCTGATATCAAAATCATATTTTCTAGTATCATGAAGCAAGTCTAAACTTTTGCCCGGGGATTGACTCTAGACAAACGGCAAATCATCCACCTTGTAGTGGCCAACTGAATAAGGTAAATAAGGTAAAAAGGATGATGCAAGAAGAAGCAGTTATGTAACAACGAAGAGAACAGAGTTATCAGAGGAAATTTTCGACTCTGCTATTAAATATCCCAAAGTATTTTTCATTTTTTTCGAAACCCAAGCCGTTTTGCTGTTTCATTTATCTGTACAGATCTTCGACGATTTAATCTTATCATGCACATATTTTGATGTCACTGAAACTTTATACAAGCGTAAAATATTGCCAATACCTTTGAATAATATTAAAGTTGTATGGATATCGATACGAGTGTGCAACTTAATCTAAATGAATCGCATTCACACCTATTTGAAAAGATTGTCAATCTGCAGTCACTAACACAAGCATTGTAATTTTCTTCGAAAACAGTTTTCCCAGTCTTCAAAAGAAAATTATCATATACAGTCACGGAAATCATCAGTTGAATACTTCACACGACAATTCCTTTCTTGGACAGAAATCACTAGTACATTGAAGAGTCCCGGATAACCAAGCAACAACCTGACACATTAGCAAATTTATCCTCATTTTCATTATTTTCAGTTCCACTGAAGCATCGACAACTGCTTTTGTGCGCGAATACATAACGTTTGTAAATAAAAGCATCGTTCAGTTCATATTTTTCCGGCTCAGTTCCTGTTCTTATGCTAAGCTCATTGAGTGACCCATAACGCCTCTTAAAATTTGTCTTGCCTTTTCTTTACAGTTTTTATCGTTTTCGATTAATCCATCTTCTATTCCTTACCTAGCCGTGGGCTCTATAAGTAATGATTGGCAGATGCATCAGACACTTATGAACGGATCAAAAATTCTCGTGGTCATGCTACTAGCAACAGTAACGCTGCTGTCATATACAGAAAGACATCTTGTTGAAGGTACTTGGTTAATCTAACTTACATTATGAATACACCTTCAGCAGTCTACTCATCTTATTGCTTAGGCACGACTCTGACAATAGCTATTAACTATACTCTGACCTAATAGCCCCATGACTGGGCCTCTACGAAATCCTCTTTGACCTAACAATTGTCGGTTCTCTTACAGCTAGTACTTCAGCTATAAGTCCATCTCCTACAGTAACGGTATCTAGTGTGGGTGTGACTGTAGGATCAAACCAAACCTTTGTCCCAACATCCTCGGCAGCTGTACAAACAACTGCTCCAAAAAGTAAGTAGCTTCGCTTTTGGTCCTAAAGATCTCACTCCTTGAGTAGCAAAACTAAGCGAGATGCTTCGTATTCTGTAAAGGTGATGATGATGATGATGCCAAAAAGGAAAAAGAAAAGAAAAAAATCTCCATGATTGCAGGTGGCTGTGCTGGAAGCTTCGTTGTCATTGTTGGAATTCTGGTGGTCGTTTATTTTCATCGTAAAGAAAATCAAGACTAGATCTAGATAACAAGAGCACATCCCCCATCCTTAGCACCAAAGAGTCAGAGAAATAACATTAGAGCGCACTTTGAAATACGTTAACACCTCTTCGAGTCTTCGAGCGCTCTCCGGTTGTGCGGAATAAGGCCGAAAACGCATTTCTCAAATAATTTCATTTAGGAACACAGAATGAAGTCCAGTGGCTGATTATTTGTGAGCTTTTATGCCGAATACATGATTGTGTTATCCAGCGGAAACATTACAACTTTCAATAACAATCATGTATAGCGCACTGAGCCCCTCTTCCCCTCCCCGTCCCTCCCCGTCCCTCCCCAC